GGAAGTAGAAAAATACTGATACACTGTCTCTATAGAACTCCACTCAGAAACCTTTGTATCATAATTTATGGCAGAAGCAAGAGAAAGAAATTTGTGAATTCTCCCCTGAACCTATATTCTTAAAAAGTTCACATGCCAGACAATTTTTTAAAATTTGGCCCTTAAGAAATTTCATAAAGTATTTATTTTAGAACTAATTTGCAACAAGTTATCTTATTTGTGTGTGTTTTTTAGGGTTGAACTTTGATGAGACCTCTTCAGGGCAAATGAGTAAGATCTAAACATCAAACATCTTGGATCTCTGTTAAGTAAGCTTTTAGTGCGCCTTCAAGGCTTCCTCTATCCACTTCAAAGCATTGCAACAGAACAACAGTGATATTGATTAGAGGTCAGTTAAAGCACACCCAGGCCATTGGGGGTTCCAGCACTGAGTATTTAAATAACTTGTGCCAGTGTTCTGGTAGCCAAGGAATCTATCTTAAATATAGCTAACTTTATGTTAATTACATTTATTCCAATTACTGCCTGACACAATGTACTCTGTATGTGAGAGGGACATGAGTTCCTGTAAAGAAACTAGAGAATATGGAATCTATCTAGCAAATTCAGACTTCTCCATGAATGCCTGGGAAAAGCTGGCCAAAGATGTGGAGGCCAGTGTCTGCCCAGTAATAAGAAGGGAGTAATACCTGCAACTTATCTCATGTGAAAAAGATTTTCAAGGCCAAATTCTCTAGCACTCCACCACAAGGTAATGGGGCTAAGTGGCTAGAGGCCTCCTGGACCCAGGTACCATCATAGTACCCTTTTTAAAAAAGAAGCTGGTAGGTTTTTCTGGCTCATATTTAGATAAGGCAGCAGCCAGGGTGTATCTGTGAGAGTACAAACTACCCATTCCTCCATGCTATAGTGATTTAGAATGTTGGCCTAGGACTGGAGAAACCTGAGTTCAAATCCCTGCTCAGGTATGAGGCTCACTGACCTTAAGCAAATCATTCTCCCTCAGCCTAACCTGCTTCACAGAGTTTCTTAAATATATATATATATATATGCAGACAAGGACAGCCATGTATGCTAACCAAAGCTGTTTGAATGTCAAGATGTCAAAGAACAAAATGAATCTGTTCATCCCCACAAGCTTTCATGCAGAACCGCCTCTCAACCGCTCTATGCTGGCTTGTTACATATATAAAGCCTAGTTACTTATTGGAGAAAGAACAACAATCTGGGCAACTTTCCAGCACTTTTCAGCATAGAGATGGAATGCACCAAATTTATAAACCACTTTTACCTAAGTCAATAACACCTGCACATGGGGTTGCCCACTTCTAGACAGTCCAAGATATTTTGTCACCTGATGCAAAGAAGAAAGTAATGGTCTTGCACTTCACGTGCAAACTGGATTGGCCACCAAAACTACTTTAAGTTTGACAACAGGACACTCTGCTGCACTCAAAAGCATAACAAGCTAGATTAGGATATACAGGACAAGACGCACAGCACACATAAGTCTGTCTTCCAGCACCTCACTTCTGCTTGCCACCAAATCATCTGTTCAATCAAATTCTGCAACATAGCTATGAACAGTGACAAACAACTCTCTCTGATTCACAGCAATAAAGTGACTAGGCAAAATAGTCTTGCCAAATATACTGCCCTGGAGGTCAGAAGTCACTCAAGAGTCTGCAGACACAGCCATGACTAAGCAGAACATCATACCGTATCATTAAGCAAAGTTTCCATAGGTGACTGGTAATCAGAAGTGAGATGTACCTTTTCCCTAAAAGTTGGGATGAACATCCCCAGGCCAGGCCACAAAAGACTCCAGAAATCATCATTAGACTCAAAGCACATTACTGAGCAAGTTCATTGCGAAATAAGTCCTACTCTGTGTATTCGCGAAGGCTTTCATGGCCGGGATCTAATGGTTGTTGTGGGTTTTTCGGGCTTCTTGGCCGTGTTCTGAAGGTGGTTCTTCCTAACGTTTCGCCAGTCTCTGTGGCCGGCATCTTCAGAGGACAGCAAACTGGGCTCTGGCTAGGCTTGAGAGTGGAGTATTTATGGCTGTGAGAAAGCTAGTTTGTGAGATAGGCTATTGTCCTAATCAGGAGATGGTTGATTAGTGTGTTTTGTTGTGGGTGTATTGTTTTGATAAGGAGGGGAGATTATCTGTCCCTGTGGTTGATGGGTGTCATTAGCTGGTCTTTTCTGTGTAGTAATCCCCTGACCTTGTGGCTGGGTGGAGTTCGTTGACCTTTTGCACTCTGTGTTTTTGAGAGCTGGGAGCCAGGTTTTGTTGAGCTTCATACTTTCCTCCTTCCGGTTGAAGTTTTGTTGATGCTTGTGGATTTCAATGGCTTCCCTGTGCAGTCTGACATAATGATTGCTGGTGTTGTCCAGTATTTCAGTATTTTGAAATAAAATTTCATGAATCATTTCATTTCATTTCAGAATCAAAGAACATGAGAGACACTGCAGACTAAAACAACCAGAAAAATCTGCAGTAGCTGAACATGCCCTAAAACAAACTGGACATAAAATTTTATTTCAACAAAACTTCAACCGGAAGGAGGAAAGTATGAAGCTCAACAAAACCTGGCTCCCAGCTCGCAAAAACACAGAGTGCAAAAGGTCAACGAACTCCACCCAGCCACAAGGTCAGGGGATTACTACACACAAAAGACCAGCTAATGACACCCATCAACCACAGGGACAGATAATCTCCCCTCCTTATCAAAACAATACACCCACAACAAAACACACTAATCAACCATCTCCTGATTAGGACAATAGCCTATCTCACAAACTAGCTTTCTCACAGCCATAAATACTCCACTCTCAAGCCTAGCCAGAGCACAGTTTGCTGTCCTCTGAAGATGCCGGCCACAGACTGGCGAAACGTTAGGAAGAACCACCTTCAGAACACGGCCAAGAAGCCCGCAAAACCCACAACAACCACAAGTCCTACTCTGTTCAGTGGGGACTGCTCCCTATGTTTTTACATGTTGTCAAGTCAGTTCTGACTCATGGCAACCCTAATAGGTTTTCTGAGATGCAAGATATATAACGAAGGTTTTTACAGTGAGTTTCCATGGCCAAGAGGGGAATTGAGTCTCACACTTCTTGAGTCCTAGTCTGACACTGTATCTTTTACATTGTACTATACTGGCTTTTGGGGTAGAGTCAACCATACCATTGGATAGAGCAAGAGAGATGCCTTGGACGACATATGCTGGGAGCTAGCAAGTGGGTGCACCTTCCTGGAGGACAGAATTGCACATGCTATGTGTTATCTCAACCCTGAGTGCTCACTGGAAGGACAGATCTTGAAGCTGAGGCTCCAATACTTTGGCCATCTCATAAGAAAAGACACTCTGGAAAAGCCCCTGATGTTGGGAAAGTGTAAAGGCAAGAGGAGAAGGGGACGACACAGGACGAGATGGCTGGACAGTGTCATCAAAGCTACCAACATGAATTTGACCAAACTCCATGAGGCAGTGGAAGACAGGAGGGCCTGGCGTGCTCTGGTCCATGGGGTCATGAAGAGTTGGACGCGACTTAAAAACTAAACAACAACAATGTGTTATCTATCCTAAGGCAGTCTGCTATTCTTAAGTGTGATAAAATTGTGTCCCACTCCATGTACAAAAGGAAACCAGATTGCCAGTTCAATGTTGAAGTAACATTCAACTGGCAGTCTGGTCGGCTTTTGTTCAAGGAATAGGGCACCTTTTGCTTCTGACAGCAAGTCACTTGGGCCAAAGACTAAACAACAACAATGTGTTATCTATCCTAAGGCAGTCTGCTATTCTTAAGTGTGATAAAATTGTGTCCTACTCCATGTACAAAAGGAAACCAGATTGCCAGTTCAATGTTGAAGTAACATTCAACTGGCAGTCTGGTCGGCTTTTGTTCAAGGAATAGGGCACCTTTTGCTTCTGACAGCAAGTCACTTGGGCCAACCTGTCCTTTGGGAAGAAATATTTTAACTCCTTCTGTAATAGACTCTTGTGCAATGGGCTAGTGAGGTTATGCAAGAAATCAGTTTTGTTTTTTTTACCAAAGCCAGCACTGCAAGTAGAATACCAAAGGGGGAACAAGAAAGCCACAGAAAAACAAAAACCAGCAGAATGTAGCTACTCAATAATCAACTCAATATGTGGCATAGTGGATTGTACTGTACACCTGGAGCAGAGTTCAGGTACACATTCCTGCAAACTTGGACCAAAATTCAGGTTTAATTTCCTATCCCAACTCATTGACAATGTCAGCTTATCACAGAATTGTATTGGACGATAAAACAGGAAAACTACCTCTTTTAATACCAAACTAACAACCCTCATGTAGCCAAAATAGCACCACTCTTGTGCCCATTCCATGTTTTGGAATAGTAATAGATGGGTCAGATGGGATGGCCAAATCCATGTTTTGAGTGCCCAGAGAGTATAAAATCCTGTAGGCAACAAACTAAAGGTCACAGATCTTTTTGTGATCTGAGCACCTTTCAAGCACCTGTCAAGCAAGGTGCCCTCAGCACAGGTGGGCTGTGGAGTGAGTTGGCTTCCTTACTACCATCGCTTGGAGACAGCAAGTAGTAAGGAGGAAGAGAAATGCTGGACAGCTCAGTTGCTTAGGCATCCAGCTGGTGCCTCCTTAACAAGGGCTGGAGGTCAATGATCCATAAAGGTCCCTCCCAGCTCTTCAGTTCTAAGATTATCAGCAGATACCTGCAGGAAAGGGGCAGGGTTGGGTTGGGCTCCTGCTAGAATTAGGCAAAATGCCACCTCAGAAAGCCACATTTGGGGTTTCATGCAAGGACAGCAAACTGTGAGCTACTACTACGAATTGTTTACTACTACTGTAGTCTCATTGTTGTTGTCTGCCAAACATGGAGGATAGGTTCTTGTGAGATTTTCTCCTGGATTCAAATCTCCCATCAGCCATGCAAAATCACTGGGGATGTGGAACTGGTAAAACCACTCCTTAAATATCTCACTTACCTTGAAAGCCCTGTTAGGGTGGCTATATGTCAATTCCAACTTGACAGCACATCGCATCTATGCTTATCTGGGACTAAGATCCTCTGAAAACAGCAGGACTTCTCCAAGTAAATATGCAGAAAACTGCACTGATAATGCAATTTTTTTAAAAAAAATGGAAAATCCTTTGTTCCTATTCAGTGTTATCAAGCAGTAGAAGCGTATTCTTTTGATGCCAAATCAAACGCGGTGTAGCAAGATTGCATCATGCGAAATGGAAAAAAAACCGAGTCTCCCTGCAAATCCTACCCGTTCGTTCACACACATTCTACACACTCACATAGTAGTTCCACGCCCCGCCAAAGACCGCCAAGATACGCCTTCTAGCGCGTCAGCGAGAAGGCCCCAAATACGGAGGCCACTTTTTCCGCGGCGGTCCCAAGGCTCCCAGCTCCACTTTTCTGTCAGGGGGGTGCGGCTCGACCTTCGTCCGAAATATATATACAGTATTTAAAAAAAAGGCCCTCCGGCCCCGCCAAACCGAACCGCCGCCGCTGCCCAGTCTCCTCCTGCCCGTAACCCTTCTCCCAAATTGAGGGCAAGGAGGGAAGCGCCATTTGCAGCGCACCCTGGGGAGAGGACGGTCCTGCCGCGTTCCTTCCCGACGACCATTCTTGAAACAAAACACGGGTACGCTCTCACGCGCCCGTGTCGCCCGCGGGGGAGGTCCGCGCCGACCACCACCACCAAGACCAGGCGCCGAAGAGCCGCCTTCCCGCCCCCTCGTTCTTCTTCAAAACGCGGGAGGGGAGTCGAGCCTCCCCTTCATGACTGCCGGAAGGAAGGGGAACGTATTCAGAATAGCCCCGTCGCAAAAAAAAGCAGCGCTAGAAAATCCTCTCACTCGCCTCCAAATTCTCTTTTTAGAAGGCAAACGAGGACGGGTCATGGAGCAGAAACGCCATGCCAGGAAAGGGATGGCGTTGAGGGGGGGGGAAGGGGGGGTTCTGGAAAACCGAAAAGGGACGGAGAGCTTCAACCCTACACGAGGTTACCTAGGAGTAAGTCTCGTCTAGGGAACGAGCTGGGGGACCTCCTTCACCTCCCCGATTTGCGCCGCCTATGAGTAAGCGCCACTAAAACGAATTGGGCTTAGTACTTTTGAGGAACCACCCTAAGGATTGTATAAGAAAGAATTTCGCAATCCGGAGTTCGCCCCAATGAAACAAAATGGTAGCCGTGAGCATGAAATGGAGCTTCCTGATTCCGAGGGAGTGTACCTCTAAATAGTTCAACAAACAAAGGGGCAATGGTTCTAGTGTAGCTAGATTTTGTAGTTTTTGGTCCCCTGGCTCACAAGGGGGGAGGACGCTTAAGAGGGCTTTGAGACAAGCCACCTTTCTCTTAAGCTTCTCTCCTACAGCCCTACCCCTCTCTCTCATCGGTGAAAGTGACAACTCGATCGTGCAGATGGAGGATCGAAGACACAAGCTTTTTATGCACACCACTGAATGTTAGTCTTCTCTGGTTGAAAATATCTGAGTGACAAACATAAGAAACAGGATGCTAGGAAGAAAAATGGCTCTTCTGCTTTTCAGAAAATATCTATAGGAAGGGTGGGGAACTCCAGGTGTTTTTGACCTACAATTCCGAGATCCATCATGGACAACCAGGGACCGTCGGATTTGCTGATTCAGAACATCTGGTGCCTCGCAGGCTCCTTCTCTCCTAAACGAAGGAATGATCCTTTTTAGGATCATAACACCCACCAGCCTTTTTTTCTCCCACCAGAGACGTCCCACGCGGCTCGTGCTTCTTAAACAACCTCACGCACTGACTGCCGCCTACCTTTAAGAGCTCGCCTTTCTGTCATCAAGCGAGATACCGATATTCTAAATAAGAAAGGTTTCTTATTGCTATGCAATCAGGTCGCTTCCGATTTATGGCGGTTTGAATGACCTCTTTGGGATTAGAGAGATCCGGACCTATTCGGAAATATTTAGGGCAGGATTGCTGCCAATCGTAAACGCATTTTTACACTAGGAAGAAAAAAAAACTCCCGTTGGATTCTACCGACCTTTCCTCCCCGAGTGGTGTGAAATCTATAGAAGCCAATGGTTTATAAATACCCGGAAATAAAGGGCAGAGAAACGTGCTTTGGATCCTGAATCAGTTTCATTTTTAATTAGTGTAACCAGAGCCCTCCGCCTTCCAAGACACACAGCACAGCCTGCAAGCAAGCAAAGAAGCAACTTCCCTCTTTTCCTCCCTTTTTTGCACGTTCCTCGATCACGCAACCCTGTGACATTCGTGCAAACGTCCATCCGTTACGACTCGGAGGAGATCGCGTCGGGAGATCTGCCTTGCTCGAGCCACTCCCTCCTGGGAACGAAACGCGGCTTTCTCTTCCCCGCTAAGCCAGAACAAGCCGAAAAGGGTGCATGAAAGACAGGCTTGCAGGTAGCTGTGGCGGGACGTTTACCTGGCAGGGCTTTTTTTTTCCCCTTCCCCTTCTCGGTGATGACGAGCAGCCAAGTCCGCCGACAGACCTTCTCCTTCTTCCCGGATCCGAAGGGGAAGCGCGAGCCCACGTCTTGCTGGCCGGCGGAATTCTCGAAATATTTTCCCTGCCCACCGCGGCTGGAAGAGAGGGGAAAAAAAGGGGGCGGGAGAAACCGTGCTTGCGTGGCAGCGCCCCTGCCCTATCAGAGAGCGGGCCCGGGGCCACCTCCCTCCCCTCCGCCCGCCAATCGCGGCAGGGGAACAGAACGAGCCTCTTCCCTTCCCTCCCGCCGGAGACCCAATGGACGTCGCCGTGGGCGGGCCCTGCGCGCGGAGGGAGCGGGAGTAAGGCAGGGAACAAGGCGAGGCGTTCTTCCCTCCCAGGCCGAGCGGGTGCTGGCCCCACCCCTTGCCAGAACCAATGGCAGCAGCGCATGGGCTTGCTCGCTGGGGAGGGGCGGGGCGCCTTCCCACCCTCTCTTTGACGGGGGGGGGAGGAACCCCCCCATCCCGCCCTGTTTTTGCCTGCAATTTCGGAGGAGGCCGAGAAAGGAAGAATTGTGTGGGCAAACTTGCCTACAGAAAACTCCCTTCTTCGGAGGCAGGCGCTGAACAATTTTGGAAGGGCCAAGTCATCAGCTCCTCCACCTAGCGGTATTTGTCATGTGGCGCCAAGCGGCTTCCAATTTATGGCAATCCTATGAAGGAGTGACTTTGTGTACCTTGGCTCAAGGATCTCTGACACTCTCTCCCTAGATGTTTATTTGGATAAACGTATTGGCAAAGCAGCTACCACGTTCTCTAGACTCACAAAGAGAGTATGGCTTAGTAAAAAGCTGATGGCATATACAGTACCAAGATCCAGGTCTATAGAGCCTGTGTCCTGAGCACACTCCTGTCCTGCAGTGAGTCCTGGACCCTTCATGCACGGCAGGAGAGGAAGCCGAACACCTTCCATATGCGTTGTCTCTGGTGCATTTTTTGTATCACCTGGCAGGACAAATTTCCAAATAGAGTAGTCCTAGAACGAGCTGGAATTTTTAGCATATATACATTGCTGAAACAGCAACATCTATTTTGGCTTGGGCATGTTGTGAGAATGGCTGATGGTCGGATTCCAGAATATCTCCTGTATGGAGAATTAGTGCAGGGAAATCACCCCAGAGGGAGACCACAGCTGCGATACAAGGATATCTGCTAGCGGGATCTGAAGGCCTTAGGAATGGACCTCAGTAGTTGGGAAACCTTGATGTCTGAGCATTCAGCCTGGAGGCAGGCAGTGCATCACGGCCTCTCCCAATTTGAAGAGACTCTTGTCCAGCAGGCCGAGGCAAAGAGGCAGTCCCGGAAGGAGCAAAATCAGGGAGCTGGACAGGGGACAGATTGGATTTGTCCTCAGTGTGGAAGGGATTGTCGCTCTCGAATTGGCCTCCTCAGCCACACTAAATGCTGTTCCAAGTCCTCTATACAGAGCACGTTAACCATAGTCTCTCTAGACTGAAGGATGCCTAAGTAAAGTATGAAGGAGTGATTTCCAAAATATGCTCAACAGCTTTGCTCAGCTCCTGCAGACTCATGGCTGTAAACGCCTTTAGGGAGTCAGCCTAGCTTATATTTGGTCTTCCTCTTTTTCTGCTGCCTTTCCACCTTTTCTAGCGTTGTTGTCTTTTCCAGAAAGTCCTGCCTTCCCATCATGTGCCCAAAGCGGAATAGCCTCGGCTTCAACATTTGGGCTTGATTTGATCTACAATCCACTTGTTCGTCTTCCTGGCAGTCCAGGGTATCCACAAAACTCTTCTCCAGTATGACTTTTCAAACAAATCAATTTCTTTTTCTGCATAGGGTAGCCAGAAACAAAAGAGGACAGAGCTCCTGCCCCTTGAACCCTGGTACACTGAAGAGGCAAGCTGAGGGAAGATACCTTGCACAACAGAGCTCACCCAAGTGAAATTCTCTCTTCTTTTCACTCATTAAAGGTGCAAGATCCTTATTGTCCATGGCATCTGGCCAAGAACTCCCTCCACCCACGGTGGTGTGATACACAATCTGGTAGAGGCTGCACACACAGTAGAGCTGGACCTGGAGGAATTCCAGGGTCCAGATTGATGGGAATTGGCGTTCCAGAGTCTAAGATTCCTGAACTTTACTGTAGGACTTTTTTCTCAGTCTAAAAAGTGTAGAATTACACTGTAGGTCTCCACAGGCAAATGATAAAAGTTACAGCTACATATAGTTCTGGATTTGAAAACTCGGCAGCACTCGTTCCAAGCTAAAGTTGCTTATCAAACATATATGCTGCAAAATTCATTTAGAGGAAACTGTGACTGAAATTTAGTGATAAATACACACAAGATGGGGTGCATATATAATGCTTAGGATCACTATGTCAGATATCCCTTGATAGCTTTCCACCAGAATGTATAGATGTCTTTGTTGCTGTTGTTATGTGCTGTTAAGTTGGAACTGATTTACAGCAGCCCTAACAGAGCTTTCAAAGTTAGTGTGACATTTAAGGAGTATTTTACCAGTTCCACACCCCCAATGTAAGTGGGGCTACACTAGCAGCAGGGATTGAGCTGGTATGGGCTGTTTTGGAATAGTTGGGTTTGTTTAGAACACACTAATCATAGAATCATAAGGTTGGAAGGGGTCTGTAAGGCCATTATGTCCAACCCCCTGCTCAGTGCAGGAATGCAAATCAAAGGGTATCAAGGCTGACCACAAGACAATGACTCCTGCCAATATTGTGAAGTGGCTTAATAAGCAAGCCAATTCAGGATATCTGCAAATTAATCACTTCCCCTGCTTGGCAGAATGTGG